AAGTATTATAGAGCTAGTAATAATAGATATATAGATAATTATATTAATAACTATCTAAAGGAGTATTTCTATCTAAGAAGTAAATATATATATATAATAGTTATAGAGTATAAAGAGTATATTACTTCTAGTAATCTATTCTTATCCTATAATAGAAGTATAATACTTCTATTACTCTTATTCTTTAGATAGTAGGATATATATAACTATATAATCTATTATAAAGATCTTTATTTATAATATAATACCCTCTTTTTATTAATCTTATTCTTAAGATCCTATATAATCTTAATAAGTTCTTTCTTTCTTTATATATAATAACTATATTATAATATTTATTATATGTAACTATATCTATAAGCTAGTATATCCTAAGACTTATAAATAAGTTCTTCTTACTATTACTATCTAGATATTTAGTCTTCTAGTTAATATACTATATACTCTATATTTTAAGGTAAAAAAAGAGTATTTTATTCTTTTAAATAGAAAGTTATTCTAATATAATAAGTATATATAAAATAATTATTATTATAATAGGGTATTAGTTATATCTAACTATATATATCCCCTTATATATTCTAACTATATCTTTCTAATTTCTATTCTAGTAGAAAAATTAATAATATAGTAGAAAAAACTAGCTAAAGAAAAATCTAATATAGATAAGAAGATCCTTCTTTTATATTAATAAATAATTTAACTCTAAGATAATCTATCTATAGCTCTAGAGTATATTTAGTATATTTATAAAGTATATAGATATATTAAGAGTAAGATATAGTAGGAAATTCAGTATAATCTCTAAGAGCTTAATAAGGAAGAGTAACTATCTTTAGATCAGACTCTTAATTTTCTTAAGACTTCTAAGTAATATACTTTAGAAGAAATCTAATTCTTAGGGGTTATCTCTAAGATAGATTTAAATTTATTAGATTTTAGAGAGGATTTTTCTAATTTAGTTTCTTTTTTCCCTTTTAGTAGAATTAGTAAATTAAGTATTAGTATTTCTTTAGATATTTAACTAGTTCCTATATATTATTATTATTAGTATATTCTTTCTATTTAACTAAATAGAATATTTATTTATTTCTAATTTCCTTCTTTAGAATCTTTTCTAGCTTAAATTCTTCTTTATAAACTTTAATTAGATAATCTTAATCTAGTATATTATTTAGTACTTTTTTAAGTAATAAGATATAAAAAATTAGATAAGTATATATTATATTTAGTAATAAGAGTTTATAATTAGTATCTGATTTTTTCTTAAGAATTTTAAATAATCTAAGTTTTTTATAGTTTAATTTATTATTTAGCCTTATTATTATAATATTTTTATAAAGTAGATAGATCTTATCTCCCTCCTCTAAGATTAGTTCTTTTAATCTAGTTT